ATTGTTCATAACAAATTTTAGCATATAAGTAGTTTTAGACTTTAGAAGTAGCAACTTACTTGCATTTCTTGGCCTATAACTCCTTCATGCTATCCCCATATATTCTTAAACCTTTTCCTTTGAACTACTTAGAACATTTCTCTTAGGTTCAAAAATGATACTTTGCTTAACTTCTTTAAGCACTTTTCATGATTTTGCTAAGTCTATTCAATCATTATTCATATTAGAGTTTAATCAACTATTTAACTCTATATGAAATAGATGAAGAATAATGTCATTTGATCAACTTTTGATCATAGAGACTTCCAATCACTTTCTTATTTTCAATCACATTGAAGATAGGAGATTTTATTGGAATTCCATACTTGTCTTTTAGAGGGTTTGTACCTCCCATCTCATTCTAACCTTTGAAACACTTTTCAAAATGAAGATTGTGTTGTCATTTTACTCAAACGTTTTGAGTTGAATAAAACCAACCTTAGACATGTGACATGGGTTTCTAAAACTTGCCTTTTAGAACCATCTTAGCAAAATTAAAATATAGGTATATGGATTATCTTTTAACCTTTTGAGAACGTTTCTCAACTTTATTTTCAATCGAGGAGATTATATATAATAACAAAATTAGAACGAAATATCACTAATTAATAAACGCAAAATTCAACTATTTATCTTGAAAGCACCTAAATTAAAAACTATAGGTAACTTTAACACTTTATTCAATTTTTATTTGTCCCATTTGAATTAAGTGATTCCAAGATCCTTTATTTGTATAATAGTTGATCAGACTGAGGCCAAGCCCTACCATCAAGCATTACATTTTCAAGGTAAGTAAACTCTTTACTAATTGCGACTCCTGCAACTCTTGGTTGAATAATTAATCATCGATCTCATGTTTAATTATTACCCTTTCCTTCAAGGTTCTAAACGCTTTAGGTAACCTTGTTGAGAACAACCAATTAAATGTGTAGAACGTGATCTACCCCAAATTACCTAAGATAACAATTGACACCCTTCGGAGGCAGACCCATCGTTCACGATCAAAGGTTTGTTGGGTATCTAATTGGAAGAGCAATCTCAATATTACTGGGACCTAGATTTATTATGTTATGATTAATTTAGTGAACTCTAGCGCATCACATTAACATCAATAAAACTAGCATGCATAATATGCTGAATGCATAAAGTAATGACCTCTAATCCTAAGAAAACTAATAAAGTAAATGCTCCCACTTGAACCTTCATGGATCTCATCCACCTCGCTCCTTTGGGCCTTCACTTTATGGGCTTCTTGGATTAACTGCAACCTGTAATTCTATTCTATTCTATTTACTACTTAAATAAAATAAACAAAATTACAAAAATAATTTATCGGTACACAGACCGTACTTAGATTACAAAAATACATCATGGTGCGCAGATCGTATTTAGTAATCTACTGGGCCATACTAGTCATTATATTGCAACATAATATCATATATTATAAAATTACCACATAATAAATATCACGTAAACATGCTTACCTAAACTACAACATCGAATGCTCATAATTAAGGAAATATGGTACCAAAATATCTCATATTTTAATCTGTAATTAGATAATATCATATATAATTCATGACCATTTTTAGAATATCATATATTTTAATTTAGGCATGAGATAGAATCAAATCATATTTTAATCCTAAAAGATAAATCATATTTATCCTCAAAGATTATCCTAACAAAATTAGGAGATTCTATCCTAATTACTAGCCAATCACAAAATTTTAAATCAATTACCTAATTAATTATGGATAATCACTACCAAGTCAATCTTTATCCTTTTGGAACCTTGCTCAATAATCCTTAAAAATTTCAAAGATTAAAACAAATTTTAAATTTTAAAATTATCTTTGATAAAATCATATTTTATCTAAAATTAAAATAAAACAAATAATTTTAATAATTATTTTTATGTTTTTGAAAATTTGGGAATACCGTGACTTAGCTTACTGCTAGTCACTTCCCAAGCCGAAGCCCTTCCACTACAACTGCCAGGACTCAGCCCAGCTAGCGCAGCCAAGCCACAATCCCAGCCACGCAGCCAGCAGGGCGGTATCAGACGTGTAACGCTTGCGCCGTCCAGCCACCACCCTCCGCAAAACACCAGATCAACTTTATTCGTGGTTGAGCACCCTACTAGCCACATCGGAGCCCAGCCGCAGCCAGACCGAAGCCCAACCGTAGCCTCGGCTAGGCATGCAGCCTGACAAGGTGACCAGCCACGCAAGCTCGCAGAACAGTAGCTGAACCGTGCAACTGTTGCACACTTCCGCTACTTCCCTCCCCTATATCCGTCTTCCGCCCTTCTTGCTCCGCCTACTCGACCACCGGAGCAGCCACCGTGGCCCACCGGCAAGTGGCTCTGCCACCCAGCCGTGGCTGCTCCCACTCAAGTCTTCATTTTTTTTTTTAGTTTAATCAATTTCACAACTTTTGTAAAATTAATTTGGTGATCTAATTAATTAAACATAAACACTTTTATGCCTATTCAAAAAATTAATCCAAAATCACTATTTCAATTAATTTGGGGCTTTTCATACAATTTAATCCTTAATTCACATAAAACCCTTTTACATGAATTAATTAATCACACAACATTTTTATGCATGAATAATTAAATTAGATCAAATTATATAAATTATATACTCAAAATTTGAATATCATTAGCATTCATAATACATCAAAATTTTCGAAAATAATTAGGGCTTAGGGTTTAATTCGGATTTTGCTAGGAATAATTGAGCAATTTAAATCACATTTAAACAAATTCCAAATCTTTAAATCTCCATTTAAAATAAAGATTGAACCATAATTAGAATTCTCCATCTTAATTGAATTAAAATTGTGGACATCAAAGAATTATGATCAATATGCGTAGATGCAAGAAACTAACTGATACCACTGTAGGATTTTAGGTACTCTAAGCGCAATTTCACGAATCATATTCGTTCGCACCTAAACAAGATCTACAAGCATAACACATAAAGAATCACATAATTCATACCTTTGACGCGTGATTTCCACGTTGCGATTGACTGTCAAATAGGGAGATGATAGAGCCCCAAGCGTTGCTCCTCTACTTAGTCCACGGGATAAGATTGAACCTCCAATACTGCTAGATAGTTGGGCACAAACACTTCGAACCACCTTCTACGGAGAGGGGAGGAGAAAAACGAGCCATGAACAACCACGACCACCATCGTACACCACCGTGCACCACACGCGCCACCGGCGTGTGCGGACATGAGGGAAGAGGAGGGAGTGAGTGCGTGAGGCTTTAGGGTTTGCTTGCTAACTTGTCAATTCTCAATTAACTGCTAATTGTGTTGTTTATCAAACCCTAGGCAAGGCCTCTATGTATACATCATATAATTAGAGTCCAAAACCAAGGCCAAACTACTCCCTCTTCAATCCCATATGGCCGGCCACTCTATGAGGCCTAATAATGGGCTTCTTTCTTTTGTTCAATCCATCATCCTTTTGTGTGACCTTATAGAATCTATTCTATTGGGTTTTGGACTATTGACTAGCCAAAAGATCATTGATCACGTCTAGCAATAGATAATGACGACCCAAAAGAATGAACTTATTATCTCCATAATATCGATCCTTGATATATCTAGTAATTGCTCTTGACGAAGACATAAATCCTTCAGTAGCTTCTCGTGAGTTGCGTCGACTTATGATTAGCTCAATCAGAACTTCCTTGAGTCAAGTCTTAGCCTTATTTTCGTGTAGCTAGTCTACGTGTACAATAAATATTACGAGTTATATGAAGTTGCTCTCTTTTAAAAAAAGAAAAAAAAAAGAAAAGAAAATTTATCTCTGAAATTTAAGTCTCAATATATAAAGGTAATCATACTACGGAGTATCATCTAAATTAAAGAAATATACGCCTGAAAATTAATTTTTGTACAAAGATAATCAATACAACGTACAACATATAGTGTTACTCTAAAAATGGTTTAAGCTTAATTCTTCGTATACACTATACAACTAGCTTTTGTACAGTAAAATTACTTTAAACTCGGTGTACATAAAAGATTTTGTATATTGATTGTACAAGTTCTTAATTAAAATACATCCAAATTTTCAGAAGATATTAGTTGATCAGGAGGGACTACAATGCAAATTATAACAAAAGAACCTTCCAACTGCACCTTAAAAGAAAATTAAAGTTATTTGTTTGTTTACGACTTTCCCTACTAGTAATTTTCTAAATTTCTAAAAGACGCAACATTCAGTTTTAATTTACTTGCTGGCTTGTTGCTCACTTGCTCCCATGTCTAACAACACTACAAATAATGGTAATTAAAACATAAACAAGAGTCCATAAGTACCAAGATTATAAATATAATTTCATTAAATCAATCATTGGTCCATAAGTATTAAAAATTGTTTATAATTATAAACTTATAATCTAATTCCATAATAATTAGCCTATGTAATCAGTGATTCACCTGATTCCTCCACGATCATTGTTGCGACAACCCTTTTGTTGAATATTGAATGTAAATTAGTTTAAATTAATTAAACTATACTAAAGCTACATAAATTTAACCAATAAGCTTAGAGAGAGTCTACAATCCAATCCATCCGTTAGCAAATGCAACATTATATTAAACAATTAGTTCATTTTCATTTCTTTTTCCTTTTAACCTATCTTCAAATCAAAATACCGTTTGTAACTATATAAAAAATACAATATTCAAATATCGCTAATCTTCCTTATCAAACTTCAGCTCTTATTGTTTTTTTAGAGGGCCTTATACATCGTAGTAGCCTAGTAGGAGGTAAGGTAAGAGAATCACTATCTCTAAGGACAAGATTTAAAACTCACACCTCTACGATCTAAAAATATTTCATTAAATGAGTTAAGTCTTGCTTAATTTGTTCTCCTTTAATAATCATCTTGACGCGCATATGAGAACTAGACTCTTCAATATTTGAAGAATTTGTAGATGATCCATTTTCCATTGAATATTTAGATAAAAAAAAATATTAAAAAGGAAAAAGAAAAATAGTGTAAATTATCTAAAACGCTGTCATATAAAATGATGAATTTAATTTATGATTATAGTAATATCATATGATTGCGTATTTGCTCGCACGACCCAAAAATAAAAAATGCCCACTTGCCCATCTGTAAACATGACCACTAATCTTAACTTATTAATTAAATAACGAAGAAAATTAAACATCTCCTTTCTCCTATAATCCCACCATTTCCATAAACTCTCACCTCATTACATACACTTACTCCATCAAATCATATATATCTTCTTTTTCTCCCTCCTTTTTCTTATTTTTAACCAAAAATATCAACTTTTTAGGACAACTCTTTTAATTAATTAAGGAAAACAATTGATTTTTGTGTTTTGTTTTGGGTTCTTCAAATAATTAATCATGGTTATGGAAAATAGATATAGAACAAGCTCGTATATCACACATGAACAAGATGACCCTCAGAGCTCATTAGAAAATGGAGCACCCGATTCGCCATTCTCCGGCGATGACTCAAGAGCCACCGCCACCGCTCCTCCTAAAAAAAGGTTTGTCCAAAATGCCACAACTAGTAAATACTTAATGTTTTTGTCAATTTCTATGTTCATTAGTTTATAATCATCAAAACCTGTCAGGGTTGGTTAGCTCCCTTATTGTCCCCTCGGCCCTCATCATGCAGAGCACGAGGGAAATTTAAGACGAGCTAACCAACCTGGTATCAACAAACAAACATGTACCATCATAACTAGAAATTAAAAACCATACATACCCGAAAAAAACATTTACAAAATTTCCAAGTCTCTTTATTTCTAATTTCTCTTCATCTTATATAATTATAATTAAACTAAGTAGAGTAAATAAAATTATGCTAATGATATGATTAATTAATGATGTGAGTAGTAGGAGGAGCATACAAAAAAGAGTGGTATCAGTACCAATAGGAGAAGTAGATGGATCAAGGAGCAAAGGGGAGACATATCCACCGTCGGATTCATGGGCTTGGAGAAAGTACGGTCAGAAACCAATCAAAGGCTCTCCTTATCCAAGGTATGTACGAGATAATCCTACACCTTGTATGGTGATCATATCTAGGGGTGTTAACGAGCCGAGCCGAGATATGATTCAGACAGTAAGCCGGCGTATGTTAGTGTAGAAGGCGGCTCGTGCTAACATACGCCTTCCTTCCCATGGAGTGGTTGGAAACCAATCATGGGAGTTGTCACACCCCTGTTTATGTGCGTGTTGTTCACGCTTGCATCTTGCTAAAGAACAAATGTCTAAGTTTTTTAAAATTAGGAAAAAAAAAAGTTTATCTTTCGATTTTTGGCGGAGAACCCGATTTTAATTTTATTAGATCAATGATCAAGGAACAATGTGTTTTTTATACGAGTTGTTACCTACCTCTCTGAAGACAAATCTCGTATTATTTTTCGGTCCAATCACTTAAAATTAAAATAATTGATATTAGTTGAATAATACTTCGTATTAATAACTCGGTAATTGTATAGTACAATATTTTTTGGAGGTTATAAAAAGTGATCATAATTTACAAAAAGGAAAAATAGCATTAGATTATGGTTTAGAATTTCTTAAGATCCCTAACATGTCTTGATGTAATATTAAAGTTAAGCTTCTTTTATATTGTTTTTTTTTTAAAATAAATTTCTCAATAGACAACGCTTCATATTGTAGATTTTGGTAATGAGACAAAAAGAATGAAATCCACTATTTAACAATTTTAATTTATTGGGATTTTTTTTTGTTTTTGAAATATTGCAAATTATGATGAGATAATTCCTTATAATGAAAAGTTTTTAAAGCTAATCTAATCAAATACATTAGAAATTGCTTAGGATAATTAAAGACTTTGATTGGTCTTTTATTCATACTAAGCATGTAATAAAAATATTGATTTTTCTTAGCACTCAATCAATGTTGATAATTCCTCAGAAAAAAATAAGTAAAATTAAGGTTGATAATTCTATGCAAAAAATTACGGAGTATGTTTTTAATTAGATAAACAGTTGTTTTATTAAATCCCACAACATTTTACATTTTTGGTAGTTGGGAGAACATGAGAAGATTCTGTAACATGTTCTCACGTATGACAATTTGATCCATGTTGGATACAAAATTTACTTTAAATGTATAGAATCACATACTTATCCAATAACTTGTTTATTCAATGAATTTCATAAAACAACAAAAAAGTAAAATCAATCTAATCGATTACTTAGAAGAAAGATAAATCCTTTTGTCCAATGCCACCCATTTTCCTAAAAGTTGGGAAAAGACTTACTTATACTCTATAATCTTATAAAACATGTCTATTATACAATTAAATGTACTTAAAGTCATATTTACATCTAAAATATACTTACATCTAATTTTTCATTAATTGATATTCATACCAAATAATATTTGTTCTAAGGGTAAGAATTGTATCTAAAATATTGATACCGGGAATCAATATGGGAGTAGGGTTTCTCTTATACTTTTTTCTGCCTAACAGACTTTACTTGCTAACACAGGTCGATGAAAGCTTCTAGCAATAGGAAACCTTTTTTTTTACAAATCAAAAAAAATTTGATAGTCAAAGGATATTATATGAATATTTTAAGTCAAAACATTACACTTATTAAAAACAGAGAAAATATTTTTTATTTATTCCAATTTTGTTAATACTACAATATGACTTTCTTAGTACACTTTTTCGTATCTCTAACCTCAAATACTTATTTTCTTTATTTTATTATTTTTTTTATTTTTTTATTTACGAGCTCTATATTCCTATTTAATTTGCTTACTTTTCTTTTTCACTTGTCCCTTTCTTTTTTCTTTTTAAGGATCCAATTTTTTTTTTTTAAAGTTCTTTTCTCATTATAAAAAACTAAGGTATCACACCGTCTCTCATTTACCTACATATATACTCAACTATCTTCAATCACATCTAACTTTAATTGAAATAAGAATTGATAACAAAAAAAAATTTAACACTCTTCCAAAGCTGTATGTCTTAATAAGGTGTAAACTAAATTAAAATGGAGAGAGTATCATTAGTTTTTGTTTGTCTGATGTACATTATATTACTCCGTAAATGGGAAGAAGTTGTGAAACAAATGGAGTGTTTTACATTTTGTAGTATTTCACGCGCATTAATGGAAAAGCTTTATCTTACATATTTGTCTTATTGGTCGTTTTACTTGCGCACCAACTCCTCCCTTTTCCTTTTCACCATGATAAAAATGCCTAAATATTCATGTGCTTTTGTTTGTATTCGTTATAATTTATTTATTGATTTTATTAAATTTTTATTTTTCAGGGGATATTATCGATGTAGTAGCTCCAAGGGTTGCCCTGCTAGAAAACAAGTAGAAAGGAGCCGTGTGGACCCCACAATGCTTATTATAACCTATGCTTGTGAGCACAACCATGCTCTACCTACTACCAAACACCACCACCACCATCACCACCACAACAACCACCACCAAACACCGCCTCGTGCCACCACCGCCTCTCCGAATATTCTGTCTCCCGCAACTCCTCCCGTCTCGGTAGCTCCATCCGATTCCGCCGAGGACGGGGCGGAGGAACTGTCTCCGTCGCCGTCGTCTCCGTTGCACATTAATCCATTTGGTGATCCACCTCATCTAGAGTTTGTTGGTGACACCTTGATGTTAGGAAATGTAGGGGTTGAGTACAATTGGATATCTGATTTATCATTCTACACGCCAGCTTTAGTGGGACCTAAATGTGATGATGCTGAGGTGACAACATTTCCAATGAAAGAGGAGGATGAGTCATTATTTGGGGACTTGGATGAACTCCCTGAATGTTCTTTAGTTTTCCGTCGTGGCCAAGGAAGCATCGATAGGTGTACTTCCGCCCCTCCGATATGTGGGAGTACATGACTTAAAAAAATTGATTATGTAACTTTTTTTTATACTCCCTTCGTTTCAAAATAATTGAATTGCTTCTACATATCGTAAAAAGAAGAATTTTCAATAATCAAAGCAAAAAAGAGCAACACTTGTTTTGAAGCGAGGGAAGTAGTGTTTTGTTTTTAATCCCATTGGTTGGGTTTTTCATTTATGGTGATTGTTTAGTTGTTACATAAACATCAAGATGTGTTTTTTACACTATACTACAAAGAGTTGAGAATGAACTGATTCGCACAAAAAAATTTTGTTGACTGTTGATTCATAACTTTGGTTAAATGGATAGTTTATTCTGTTCATTTTTTTGAATGAATCTTTACTAAATTAAGGAGTAGAGATTGTACTATTGTTTTGATGATTTGGAAGTTGATCATTCTTGTACTACTACAATCTTACTTTTTATATATATATAAGAGACCCAGATTTCGAGCAACTTAAGATCGTAATTAGTGTCCTTTAGAAGTACACAGTAAAAAAAAAATCATTCCTTTGTTTGCAAATTTTTTGTTTGTAGTCACTGTAAGTGTAACATACTTTCTAACATCATTGAATTTAGTTAACTTAGCATTGATTGGTTTCACGATTTAGGACAACTTCGGGGTTGTTGTTCTCGAGTCAAGTCAAAATTAGGCCTAGTTTTAAATTATTTAACAAGATCCACATAAATATATTTTTTCCAAATACTTGGCCTTGTTTGGTAAAAAGTTTTTTGAAGAGCTTTTAGCTTATTATGTCCGAAAAGAGGTTTGACCATTTAAAGAAGCTAATTTGGGTGTTTGGCAAATAGCTTATTAAAAGAGCTTTTTGGGCTTAAAAAGCTCTTTTACAAAAAGCTATTTATAAGAGCTTTTTGAAATTAGCTTATTGAACAATTAGCTTTTTGGCAATTAAATAAACTGAAACAGTTAACAATTAATAGCTATTTACCAAACACTTTTACCAAATCAGCTATTTACAATCAGTTAGTCAAACCAGCTAATATAACAAGCTAGTCAAATTAGCTATTACAACAAGTTACATCAATCAGCTATCATCTAATTACCAAACAGGGCCATTTATTAACAAAGAAGAAGTAGTACTTGGCGAATACAAAAAAAAAAAGTACAACTTGGAGGTCTTGTTGAAGAAATTTAAGCTCACAAGTACCCTCAGCACTAGTAACATGCATCTCTTTGATAAGGATGAAGACAGGTCTTCCAGAGTACGTCTTTAAACTGAGATTGACACACTTTTCTCAACTACGCAACCTCATATCTGGTTCATTGGCATGAACTATACTCGGCGATGGCTCAAGCTGGGATGTTTAAGCTATTAAACCAAGCCAGGTTTATCATGGAACTTGGACTAAATTTTTTTGGGACTCAACCAAGGAATAAGGCGCCAATGGTCGATGAATTGCAGAAGGAAGGGTTTAATCCAATCCGCAAGACAAAACCTGAACATTTGAGTGATTATGAATTATTATTACTTCATGTATAAGAGGTGATTATTTGCTGTCCATGCCAATATGAAACTTAACTGCTATTTAAGTGCAGGAGTTCGTGCCAATATATATAAAGTCCAAGAGCAAATTCATATGTTGAAAAAAATATTGAATGTTGATGCTCTTGAGAAATCTCTTATTGTAAATGTTAGCCACTGAAATTTACTTCATAAATAGCATTACAGTCCATGAATAATACGAGTATTGTTTATGTTTGCAAGAGAAGGATAAAAGAGAAGAGGCGAAAATGTTATCAACTGCGGCTGTCATAGAATCAGGTTAAATCGTTTATCAGAAATGTTTTGCATTTGATGTCATCAACTGCAGCATATTTTGTTCATTTCTTGTTACTAATTTAGATCATCTATTCATCCAGAGAAAGCAATGCCACCCATTGTGGAAGATGAGGATGACATTACTGTTTACTCGGAATCTTCTTCAGAAACTGGTAAATTCTCATTTTACACTTCCTAATATAACAAAACAAAAATGCATTCATTTGTTGTTAGTAGTAATTGTGTACTTGTTTTGATCAGAAATGGAAACTGATGCCTTAAACAAGTCTGATGCCAAGCAGCAATTTTGCTAATGTTGAAGACAATTGAACAAACCATCATATTAGCCCCCTAAAAAAAAAAAAAAAAAAAAAAAAAAAAAAAAAAAAAAAAAAAAAAAAAAAAAACCCCATTATATAATAGTTGCAACATTTTTATCATTTAGAAATAGTTGCAAATCCAATGACTTTTTAAATAAATACTTGTATTATCTATATGACTATATGTAAGTAAAAAAAAAAACAGGGTCAAGCAAATTATACTAATAGGTAAAAAAAAATGGTGCAACTATTTCTAGATGGAGGTACTACTAGTCTATAATACTTAGTACCATGTTAATTCAACATTAGCCGAAGGCATTCAAGGCTACCTTGTGAAGCAACAGAAATTAGGTTAATTCAAAATTCATCGAAGGTATTCTAGGCTACCTTGTGAAGCAACAGAAATTTTGTTATGTTTGCAGTGTTTACCATCCAAAATCACAGCATTAAAAGGGAAATAAACAGTTGATAACAAAAAACAAAGACCTGAAATTATGGTATGTGCAATAGAAATGCAGATTCATAAACTGCTGCATCATCCAAGTGATCTTCTAATGACATGTTTGCACATAAAGAAACCTCATCAATCAAATCCATGCAAAAATACAGTTCCAAATAGCTTCTACTAAAATGTGTAAGCATCTAGACTTCTTCTATTAATAATATAGACAATGAAAATCCCTATTCTTTCTTTCTTTCAAGGGACGGAACTGACCCGCAGAAGTTCAACCAGTTAGGATTTTTCCCAGCGAAACAAAAAGGTGTGACAGCAAAGACTTACTACAGTAAGTAACTAGTTTGAGCAGCAGCCTATCTTCTTCCAAGCTGAGGTCTCATTTTTAATATTTATACTCTCTCCTTGGGATGGAACAGCCGATGCAGAAGCATCACCAGCATCAACAGCCTTCTTGCTGACGATACGATGGATCTGAGTAAGAACCTCAGTGAAAGCCAGCTCCACATTGGTTGCTTCAAGAGCAGAAGTCTCCATGAAGACGAGACCCTCCTGCTCTGCAAAAGCCTTCCCTTCTTCAGTAGTAACAGCAACCAGATGCCGAAGATCTGACTTGTTACCAATCAGCATGACCACAACATTTGGATCAGTGTGCTCCCGTAGCTCTCTCAACCACCTTGCAGCATTCTCAAATGTAGCTTTCCGGGTGACATCATACACAAGCAAAGCACCCACAGCTCCTCGATAGTAGGCACTGGTTATGGCACGATACCTATTTCAACAATAAAGATAGGTCCAATTTAGTTAATTGCTGTCATTCACAAATTGGATAAGAGATCATATTAATGAACTCATAGCAAAGTATGCATACCATTTCCCACAGAAATTAAAAGAAAAGAATCGAGTTGTGAGTTCTAGAAAATGGAAGGGAAATAAATCTATATAATAATTTTAGTCATTTTGACTACACTTCATCATACTCTTCCAAAACCTCAATATTCAAATTGTATGTACTTCACAATCTATCCCACTAACTTCCCAAAGTTTGTTTTTTCAAGGGACTCCATTATTTAATACTTTGTATTGTTTTCGCAAATAATATATCCCATGCATAGTACTAAACAATTTGTCTGAATGAAGCAAAAGCTGCCAGTAGGAAATGAAGAGTATAATCAAACCAGTGTTTTTTTTGGGAAAGATACTCTCCATCTAAGAAATAACATTGACCTACTGAAGCTTCTGCAATGATTCACAGACACACAATAGCACCTAAAGAGAAAACTATTTCAAGAAAGTAAACCAGGATCCTATGCAGAATAAATTTTTTAAGACCGTTAATTCGTTAAATATACTATAAAGTGTGTCTCCGTGTAAAAAGGAGTTAACACATAAAACAGCAACTCATTATATTTCCCCCCGTAGGATGCAGAGTTTCAATAATCATCCCATCTTGCAAAAGTAAAGCATATGGTTTTTAAAAGGAGAGGCAAGTAACAACCAAATAAATCACAGATAACAAGTATGCACAGCTGCACAGAAAGGCAAAGATACAACCTTTTCTCTATAAAGTAATGCTTATTCGATGTCCACACATACATGAAACAATGATGGGTCATGCCTACATCAACAGTAAACTGTTGGTTCAGAGCATCTCAATTAGCAGCAATGCTTTTTTTTTTTTTTTTTTTTTTTTTTTTTTTGATAAATTTTTTTTAATTCTGTCTGTTTATCTCTGATGCATAGAGCTGTCCTGCATCTTGTTGTATTATTCAGAATTTAAAATATACAAAATCACATTCACTACATATCCAACACATAGTAGAGGAAATTTTTACTCAAGTGCCATATCATCTTCTGTTGCTCACAAGTCAAGATACTAGGGAATTCTCATATGGGAATTCTCATATGAGATGGGTTATTGAATAAGATGGAAGAAATGTTACCCACTTACTCGTGATTAAGTACAAGTCAAAATATTGACAAGAAAAAAGCCAACCCATCTATCGAGTATTAATAATTATTAAAAGAAAATTATCACCCTGAGGGTATAAAAAAAGCATCTTGTCAATAAGTACAAGTCTAATATATTTCATAACCTATACACCCGATGTATTTCAGAGATCCTCTAAATGTTAATGACTCAACCACTCAAGTGAAGTACATTTAATAAAGAATTAGAGCTTTTCAGGAAAAACCAAAAAAGAAAATTATGATCGACAATGGGTGGAAGGATAGTTTCAAATATCGGCAAATGTTGCTATTCTCCACCTCAACCAACAAAAAAAAAAAAAATTACCACCTAAACCTAATGTTTCAGAATGTACCAATTAGACAATCAATCTTATATACTGAAGATGAGAAATTCTAATGAAAAACTGAAAAGAACAATTGTTAGATCAATAAAATCCACTTAAGATAATAGAAAGCCCCTCAAGAGAGATGCTTAACTGATCAACTCAAACTAGTGATGTCAATGTATATGTCTGAACAAATCCATAAAGTTGCCAATATGTAGCTTGAATCATGACACAGATTAATTAAAGGCTCACATTAAAGGTAGCACTATGTACAAAGGTCACAATTGCTAATTATTTTCAGGCAACTAGAAGTCTTTCTCAAGGACCACAATACAATAAATCACTTGATCCAGAACCCAACTACGCCTTTCCTTACAACTATAGAAAAATAAAAACATTCAGTAGATTAAAAAGCAAAAACACCAGACAGAAGGGCACGGTACTCATAGCATATTGAAAAATATATATATCCAACCTTAAAAATTATCTGCTAAACTTGTATAAGATGTGGCTTCAAACTACTCTACAAGATATATACTCTAAATTAATACTATGATAATACAGAACATTAGATTTTCGCTTAATGTTTCCCAACTTCACAGACTTGTCAAACCTCTAAAACACTCAGCAAAACCTAAAGCCTGCAATTGACATTTCAGAGCAAGTACACATGTCACCTACTCATTCCCATGCAATATTCTGTTAGAATTTCTAAACATGTAATTATAATATTGAGATCTGATAATATTTACCAGCCTCATATTCTATTTCCTTTCAAACCATGACACACTCTAGTATTTCATATGAAAGAGACAAAGTTATATAAGCAACAACTCTTTATCAGCTTCATTTAACAGATAAAACCTTTTCTGCATCCAATAATCTTCCTTAGTGTGTTAAGGGTCATAGAACTGTCAGCCTCCTACGGGGAAGCATATATATGAACATTTTCAAATATAAGGTGGACTATGTTCTCCTCATATCTTTATTATTTTAATTACTATATTGTTTTGTTTGTGATAAGGAAGGGGTATGGAGACAGTTGAGAGAACAGTTGGCATATCAACACATAATTATTCAAAAAATCTAGCAGGTAGCCTTTCAATGTGAAAGTCATAGGCCACAGACAAGGACCACAAATTCACAATCCAAGAAACAATCAGTTGTAGACCACTTTAGATGGTATACATAAACACACAAGATCTTGCTTTAACAAGAGTGACTGGACAGCACTGCCAAGCACACAATTACAAAGCATCTCTCCCTGTTTATATAAGTTATCCAATCCGAAATAATATAGCCCTGGGAAATCAGCAATGGGTTGGGAGAATAGGCTGAGTTCACTTATTGTAGCACATAACCACAACTTTAGACTCAATTTTCATTCCCACCCTCAGCTAATGACATTGTTGGTTCACTTGGTTACAAGCGCTTATAACTAAAGCATGATGATTGTCCTGGTCACAAAATTAGATTATCCCGCCAGATCCGTATCATCCACTGATGACAGTACACAACACCAGTAGCTATTACACTTGTCTCCCATTCTCTCTGTCTCTTTTCTCATAGATGAACCCAATTAAATGGCAAGACACACCAACACAAGACCACAAACTAATTGTTATTGGAAAGATATTCATGGTAAGATAGCAAAGCACAAAATCTAGTTAGACCTTTACTCTCTAAAGTTTGCTTTAGATATATGTAAAGAGCAAAGCATAAAAAATCCACAAAATTCAACCATTGAAACAAGAAGATGAACGACTTGGATAACCTAAAAATAAAAAGTTAATTATAATTTGGAGTATTATTTAATTATATGTGACCCAAAAAGAGAGAATCAGGTAATATGCAGAGGGCCAGTCCAGGGCAAGGTAAGAAAGGTATCAAACAGCACAAAAAAGACAAAGCTCTATGCAAGGAAAGAGCCTGGGAGTAGGAAGCAAGAAGCAAATACAATGAATACCAAAGCAACAAGACTACATTTGAATACTGAAAAGATCAAATATCAAATAACCTGTTTGGTTACTGGTTTTAAATAGCAATAATAATAATAAGTTAATAAGTACTACGTAATTTGCAAGGAAAGTCTCGTAAGTCGTAACAATGTTCATGCTAATCTTTTCCAGCATCCAGGTACTTCATAAATTTCCACTATCATTCAACACAACCATATGATAATGAGTTATAACGGAAATATATATATAAACATACACATACTTGGTGATAGAATTCCAATACCATGGACATTGGCTCAAACATAGCAAACTAGATACATTATTTTTATCAAAAAAAAAAAAAAAATCATATATATTCATTACTACTACCATCATTTATTACGACTACCCACCATACATACTAACAGTGGAATTTTATCAGTTCTATAAGCACCTTAAGTAGATGAGAAAGCTAGCTAAACAGATGAAATAAACATGCTACTGTACTAGGTGTATCATACACCAATGCAAATTAAGTATTGCCTGAGTGTGAGCTATATCTCAAAGTTGTAACAAGCATATCCATGAAGATAGGAATTAAATGTGCCTTAGAAAGCATTTGCAACTACTAGGTGGCTAAAACCAACATAGTCAAACAGTACCCTAAATTACTCAGCATCGTCCAAATGTCCAGGGTGTAGCAAGACAATGTCCTGCACTTGGATGGCACCACCTATGTAGATTCATACACCGATGCAAATTAAGTAGTGCCTGAGTATGAGCTATATCTCAGAGTTGTAAGAGCATCCATGAAGATAGGATTTAAATGAATGATCAAGAAGCCTTAGAAAGCATTTGCAACTGCTAGGTAGCTAAAATCAACATAGTCAAACAGCACCATAAATTACTCAGCATTGTCCATGGTGTACTAACAATGTCCTGCACTTGGATGGTAAAATCTAGTGCAGGTTTTCGGTAAGATGTAAGCAAACACACCTCCTCTCTCTCTCTCTCTCTCCCCTTCCCTCCCTCCCTCTCTCTCTCTCTCTCTCTCTCTCTCTCACACACACACACACACAAAGGTCCTACATAATTTTTCCTCATAATGTCACTAGTAAGTAGCAACTTTCTTTTCTCTATCTGAACCCCTTTTCTTTAATATTCTGTAATTGTCATTCCCGCTCAATGAAATACGATACAACTAGTGGGCAGCTCACAAGAAAACCTATCAGATTCCATCACCGACAGCATCTAGGAAGGTATAAAATTATAGAACTTCACCTGTACCTAATGTAAATCGGGCAAGAGATAGTTAAAAACACACTAAAATATATGTCTACAAGAAATATGAATGTGCCCCCAAACTCCAAATGATCAGATCTTTACATAAACTTCAATAATATGGTCACAGGCCATCCATAGAGGCTTAAGCCAAATATAGCAAACCTCACAAACCCATTGATCAGGTACTTTATATTCTATACACTAATCAAAAAGTGTAAATTATCCCTGATATAACAGCGAAATCCAAGAACACAGACACCTGTAAATGTCTCCTCATGTGTTTATGGGTCACCTGGGACCATCCATTATTGTATTGGCATCTACCATATGTCTCCTCATGTATTTATGGGTCACCTGGGACCATCCATTAAATGTATTTTGCCATGCTACAACTGCAACCTCAATGAATTACTTGTTCTTCCAGATTTCCTTCCACAACAGACATCAAAACGTATCTAAAGTTTGTCATACGTTTTGACTCTTCAATCTTCATCCATTCAAGCAACTAAAATATGGTTCAAAAATTATCAAATCTAAGAAACTTGGTTATTCAGGGAGCTCCAAGGCACAAAGGGTCATGGGATAGAAAAGGAGAGACTAAACATATCTTTAAAGAAATGGGCTTGCCATATATATAATAATATGATTGCAAAGTTTGTCAAACTTTGGGTGAAAATGCAGGTGTGGTCGGGCCTAATCTGATTCCAGACAGAATAACTTCAATCATTTCATAAGGCAATGGACCCCGCAAACTTCACTAGGACCAGGGTTCTCCGATACAATGAGGCAATCACCTCTATGTGTCTTGCACTTTTGACAACTAAGTTCAAGGTTGTTCTTACTTTGGAATAAGTAGATTAAGACCAGATGTGGATGATCCTATTAATACTTCATATATGAATAATAAATCACATGGATATCATTATAACATATCCAGGAAACACAAGCATACCATGAACATTATAGCCACTGTGGAAGCATGATTTATAGATCATCATCAATAATAATACTTTATACAATTATGATATTAATATGAATTAACCTGGGTAACAATTCCAAATATCTATATTCTTTGGTCACCCTCGATCAGCAGCTTATACCAAAACAAACCTTGGTATCGCACAAACTCCCAACATTTGTATACACAATTCATAAACATCTCCCTCAGCAAGTGGGTTTGGAATACAAAAATACAAAACCTATGTGTCATCGTCTTCAATCCGTGTGTGTCATCCTTACCCAAGCACAGGCCACGTTAATCTCCCTTAGATCATTCCAAATTTATCAAATTTATCGGAAATCTCTTAAGAAGCAGAATACCCACATATGCCTCCTCCACGAAACCAAAACAAACACAAGATTCTAAGCCTCAATCTAAAATACCCACTAAACAAAAGGTACAAAACTTACCAATTATCAATCTCATAGCCTACTGCATCACAAACCCATCAAATTTTCATCCAAATGATGAAACCCCATGTCATAAATAAACATATTAACATATAATTAACAAAAACTCCAAATTTGTAACACAAAACTTCACTATAAATACAATTGATTACATGAAAACCTAATAAACAATAAGCAAAATTATGAAACATAGAGAAAAGGGAGGGTTTACCTCTCTTGGCCAGCAGTATCCCAAATCTGAGCTTTGATAACCTTACTTTCAATAGTTAAACTCCGAGTAGCAAATTCAACCCCAATAGTAGACTTAGACTCCAGATTAAACTCATTTTTGGTAAACCTTGACAACAAATTTGACTTACCTACACCTGAATCACCGATCAAAACAAGCTTAAACAAGTAATCATAATCATCATCTGCTTTATATCCTGTCATTTTAATGGAAAATTTAGGAAGTTTTTGGGTAATTCGACCGTTTGAGAGTGATGGGTTTTGCCCAGAATTGATTGAGGAGAGAGAAAGAGTAGTGGGAATTGCTTGTTAACGAAAGAACATATTGAAACATATTGAAAGGTTAGGGAGTTAGTTTATGTATTATTTTTATACCATGTTGTGTGTATGTGTTCAAGTAGGATGTAGCTGACTTTTTGTTTTACATTGTACGCTGAACAGAGATCATGGAGGGACAGGATCAGGGGCAGACACGACATGACCCTGGACCAGCTGACCCTTTAGTGCTGACACTTCAGGATACCCATCGGAGCCGTGACATATGGGAGCAGATAGTAAGTTTTCATCTACCAAATATTTATTGTGTTTGGCATTTATTTGGTTCACTGATCAAACAATTTATTTTTTGTTCTTGTACAGGGTGATCTAGCACGTTGCTTGGTTTGCAGGCACCACGTTGCCACCACGGTGGTAGATTGGGTGGTCGACCCCCGTGTGCTACAGTACATCGATTTTGTGGGTTTCGGCGGATTTCATAGGATGGCCTTCACACCAATCGATCGAGCGCTTATTACTGCGCTCGTTGAGAGATGGAGACAGGAGACTCACTCCTTCCATCTACCAGTTGGGGAGGCCACCGTCACGCTCCGAGATGTGGCGATACTTACACGGCTCAGCATGCCCCTTACATTGACATGTGGGACCAGCGGCTGCAGCACGTCGCGGATGGTGCGCCTGTCCAAGGCCTGATGGAGTATCACGATCCATACATGGTATGGTACAGGAGCATTACCCGACGCTTCATGAACCCTAACTACACCCCACCCTCAACGCATTACCACCCAGCTTTTGGAGACATCAGTGGATATGTGAGTTTTTTGTCATTTTTTCTTTTCCTCCAATTTATAGTTTCTTTAATTATTAAAATGGCTGATTGTTGACTAATGCAGGCGTATGATATGCTTGCTATACATGATGCACTAGAAGTCTTGAGCATATCATATCCCACCATACCGCAGTTGGATGACATTCACGCAATGACTGTGAGTAGCTTACAGAGACATGGTCATGGCCATCTTATCCCCCAGGGCCGGGACCAATCACACCGCCGTTCACACCGTGAGGTAGGCAGCAGTAGTAGGGGACAGACTCACACGTCCCCTACAGGGTCCCCCCTATTTTTTGATGATCAGGAAGATATCGCCATCCACATGTCTACGCCATACTCATCTCAGGAAGGACCATCTTCCAGCCAACAGACTCCTCCCCAGACCTCTGCCCCAGATCCTTTCACAACGGTATCTCAGTACTACCGTCGTAGAAGACCGCGATTGGATAGACAACACTTACATACAATAGATGAATCGGGATCTTAGAACTTCTTTTGTTAGTTGTAATCAGATTCTATAGTACATTGTATCCAAATAAATATTATCAATTTACTAACCTTTTTAGTTCATTTTCTGTACATTATCAACTTCACCATATGCATTCATTCTTTTCATTGTATTGGTTGCTGGTGTTGTTGTTGTTGCTGGTGTTGTTAATGTTGCTGATGTTGTTGCAGTTATTGTTGTGGTTCCTGTTGTTAAGGTTGTAGTAGTTGTTGTGATTGTTGTTGATGCTCTTGTTGGGGTTGTCGCTGTTGCTCTTGTTGGGGTTGTCGCTGTTGTTGTTGTTGTAGTTGTTGTGGTTGTTGTTGCTGTTGTTGTTGCAGCTCCTGTGGTTGTTGTTGTTGTTGCAGCTCCTGTGGTTGTTGCTGCTGTTGCTGTGTAGCTGTGTTTGTGTGCAGAGATAAAACGCCAACCATGGTGGCGCTTTAGGGGGGTAAATTATTTTCAAAAAAATCACTCAGGGTAAAACGCCAACGGTGTTAGCGTTTTTGTGTAAATGTGTTTTTTTAAAAAAATTTGCCCAGCAGTAAAACGCCACCCTTGATGGCGTTTTATCCTTGACTAAAAATTAAAAAAAAATAAATGCCCAGGGTAAAACGCCATCCTGGTTGGCGTTTTACTCTGGAAGCTTAGTTTGGTAAATAGTTTTGCCACGCGTCTTGTTTGAGAAATTGTTTCCCAAAAACGCTTAGTTTGACAATTTTTCCGATTTAGTTTGAGTGCTTTTTTCCTCTTTTTTGGACTTGTTTTTCTCTTTAAACTGGACTTTTTGGCTAATGGGGGTGTAGTGGTGACCTTGTGGGTAGACTATTTTGGTGTGTTAAAAAAATACCAATATACCATGGTCGTTCTTCACTTGAAAATTTTAAAATCAGGTGTTATCCCCTTTGTTTGTTTTAATATTACCTCCATTAACGATTATTTGCAACATATACTAAAAATGGGTGCTAATTATTATTTGCAACAAACTTATTTCTTTACTATTTTAGTAACTTTTTTCTGTCAAAATGACAAAAATACCCTCATTTAGAAATTATTAACACATAATACTACACATAATTACAAATCATTATAGCTCTAATCTAAATTAATTATGTATGTCTTCCCACCCTAATAATCAGATTAATCTCAATTCATCTCCCCAATTATCTTCTCTCTCCTCCTTCATCTCTCATTTCCTTTTCTTCATCTCTCATCAAATTCCAAACCTTTGTTAAAGGAGGTTCCACATCTGGTTGTTCGTCGGTGGTTTGCTTGTATTTGTGGTTGGATTTGGTGATTTGTGGGTGGATTAGCAGGTTTGTGGGGGTGCATCGTGGGTGAGTTTTCTGGATTCGTGGGGGTTGGTTTTGGTGGTCGTTAAAAGGTTTCGGTGGTTTGTGGTTGGATTTGGTGGTTTGTGGGTGGGTTTTGAAGGGTTAGTTTTGGTGGTACTCGAAGGATTTGGTGGTTTGTGGGTGGGTTTGAAGGATTCGTCAGTGGTTTTGCTGGGTTCATCGTTGGATTTCGGTGGTTTTGGTGGTGATTTTGGGTTGTGGGTTTCGATGGCTTTGGTGGTTCCTGTGGTTTTTGGTGGTTTTGGGTTTGGGTGGTTCTGGGTTTTGTGGTGGTGGTGGTTTAATTGAGGCTTTCGGGGTTTTGGTGGTTGTTTTCGGTGGGTTTTGGTGGTTGTTTTCCTTAGGTTTTGGTAGCTTTCGCTGGGATTTTGTGGCTTAGTGTTATTAGGTACGTTTTGGTGGTTTCCGGTGGGTTCGTGGTTAGGTTTCGATGGTTTTGGTGGTGGTTTTGAGTTCTGGGTTTCGGTGGATTTGGTGGTTTTGGGTTTAATTGTTATTTTTTTTATTTCTTTTTAAGGTAGGATTAATACTTAACCAAGTGCCCTTATTTTTCAATAATCATGCCTTAAAAGTTTTGCCTTGGCCTCTGCGAAAAGTACATTTGTTGCAAATAATCGTTAACGGAGGTAGTATTTGGATCACTTTGATTTATGTACTACTGATCTATAGTACTAGTTTAGGACACGTGTTATGAACGGTAAGTTCAAAACAAACTATACATTAATTATTAAATATAGGAAAAATTCATGGGAATAATCCCACCTTTGGGCCGTTTGTTTTTAATAATCCCACCTTTAAGATATTTTTTAATAATCCGACCTTTACCCCCCATTCTTTTTTAATGGTCCCAACCGGTCATGTAACATGTTATAACAGGTTACATGACACGTGGCGGCCTGTGATTGGTCAAAAATAGAAAAATAACAAAAATAACAAAAAAAAAAATTAACATAAAAAAATAACAAAAAAAAAAAAAACAGCCAGCCACCAGCCCAGGCCAGCCCCATGCCGCCGGTACCTGCTCTGGCAGACGAGCCGCCGGCCGCCGGCCTCCCTCCCCTTCCCCTCCTTCCTCGACAACCCCATTTTTAAGATTTAAGAAGACAACAATTGAGGAAACTCCATTGAAGCTCACATATGGAGTTCATGGCATAATGGTAACCTACTCATTTCTTCACCAAAATGCATGAAATTTGTATCAAAATGCTCACAATCCAACGTATATTCATTTGGTGCAACGAATTACAAGAGTAGCTTAACCAAACAAAAAGCCCCAAATTGATTATTTTTAGAGTTCTTCACACCCACCATCCCACCTTCGCACCACCATCAACCAACCGAGAAACCCCCACCGTCCCACCTTCTGTCTTCCCATGACGAAAATCAACCAGCTCACAAACCCCCACCCACTATCCCACCTCCACACCAGCATCAACCAACCCACAAACCCCCACCGTCACCACACCAAAACCCACGGAAACCACCCCCTCCTCACCTCCTGCCTCCACTTCCTAAACCTCCCTTTCCCCGTTTTCCTTCTATCTCTCTTTGTGGTGGTGATTTTGGTTCGTGGTGATGGGGGAAGGATGAAGGAGGTGGCTGCTGGGACGAAAATGGGGTGGGTCGGGATTTCGGCCGATTTCATGGTGGTGATTATGGTTCCTGGTGATGGAGGGTGAGGCAGGGAGGAGGAGCGGCGGCGACAAGGGTGAGGGGAGGGGGAGGAATGACAGGGGTGGGGTGATGGGAGGAGGAGGAGCGGCAGGGTTGGCAGGGGAAGATCCGGTGGGTGGGTTTAGGGTGGGGGGTTTATTTTTTTAATTTTTTTTTTAATTTTGGACAAATCAAATTGTGACACATGTAAATTAATCTTTTTTAAAAAAAATTACCTACTCAACCGGTTTCTGGTAAAATGGGACCATTAAAAAAGAATGGGGGGTAAAGGTCGGATTATTAAAAATATATCAAAGGTGGGATGCCCAAAGGTGGGATTATTCCCATCAATTTTTCCTTAAATATATAACAAACACAATATAATACTTCCTCCTTTTCAAAAATTATGATCAAAGCTAGTATATGAATAGTAAAAAAGTCCAATGACCCAGATATTGTGGGATGAAGGAAGTAAAAAAAATCATCAAAAATATGAAACAAAATATCGGAGACCTAATTAATTTGCGAATGATACAAAACGTAAACATAAACTTATTAAATTGAGCATAAACATAAATAAACTATAAATTATTCAAGCTTAACCAAAAAAAAAAAAAAAAAAAAAAAAAAGGTAATTTAAGTTTAGTGGTATGAAAACTATATTGTAAGAATATATTTATGAAAATTGTATCAAAGAATATGAGGCTGCTTGGTTTATCACCTTGATAAACGTAGTGTGTTTTTCTTATGACATCATTGTAAATATTTTGCATTGAAAACCGTGCT